ACAGAGTACCCAGAGAGCCCAATACCCCTTGAATAAGGAATATACCTTAAATTATAGGGGCCTTAATATTATGATTTAAGGTATATTTCTTAATTAAGGGGTATTGGGCTCTCTGGGTAGACCATTCGTCAGGCGGCGGCTATGGACGTTCTGCCAAAGCGGATGAACTCGCAGATCGTGTTGCTGATGAAGGGTGATGTGCACACTTCCGAGAAGGCGATCGCAGGGTACATGGCCTTCCATCACACACTGCTTCTTGGGAGTGATTGATAAGAGTCATAACAGTGTCAGTTGTGCCGGAAGTACTAAGAAGAATGTTAAGATGACACTTCATAACTGCAGTATTAATTGAGTCTCCTTGAAAGCGCTCGGCGGTTGGAAGAACGGGGCTAAAGCTTTGGAACATCGGCAGAGTCTGCGTGCAATAAACGTCGTAGATGGCAATGACAGTACGGCTTGCGATGACGACGCCCTCGAATGTGGCGATTGTGGTGTCATGGATCATGGCAATGGCCATCGCGAACATTTGTCTGCGGCGACAAGTGGCCATCATGGATCTTGGTGGGGCTGCTAACGCATGACTGAAGACTGGGAGACTTTATATGATGATGGTGTCATGGGAAGGAATGGTGAGGTTGATGCAGGTGGTTGCGAGTTTGCAAAGGTGACGTCAGGCTACTCCTCTAGATGTGGTTCCCGTGCGGGCGGCAGTGATGATGCACGACGATGTAGGTGTTGATGTGTTTGATGATGATGCCGGTGACCGTCATGGCCATAGTGATGGCAATAAGCATGGCTACACGATGCTGAATAGTAATCCCAAACCCCAAACCTTGAAGCGCGAAGTTTACGGAGCCGAGGCTCCTGCTCAAAAGCCGGTGTCCCAGCTTCAACGATGCCATCGAGGAGAAGCTGCGCCTCTTCGTGGAGGACGAGGAGATGAGGCGCAAGGAGAACGTACCCAACCTTGGGGAATTTATGTGCTTGCTTTCTGTGTCGGACGAGTTCACATGGGACAAGCTGGCAGTTCCCATTCTGGAAGAGACTTTCGACCGTGGCGTTCTTTGGCTGGTGAAGGCTTATCCCCACCTGGCTCAGCTTTTCGCTCCCGTGGACGAGAGGATCGAGAGAACCTGGGAGACGAGCCGGGTGTCTCGGGAGCTTTTGATGTTTCATGCTTGGTTCTTGCATCATGTGGCTCACATCCAGCATGAGCACGGCCACGGCCCCTGCCGACGAGCAAGTTGCATCCTCGAGCGCTACGAGCGCACCAAGGGCTTGCCTTTGCAATCGCACGTCAGTGGCCTCCAGAAGGTCGGACGGAGAGAGCCCAAGATACCCCCTTGATTCGGAATATAGACCTTAAATCATAATATTAAGGCCCCTAGAATTTAAGGTATCGTTCCCTCATTTAGGGGGTATGGGGCTCTTTGGGGAGCCCAAACGACCACCAAAGAAGCAGCAGGAGGGTCACTTAGGTCACTCACGACACCCAACTTGTTAAGATCCTTCTCTTTGCTTGGTTATTGCGGGTCCCTTTCAAGGCCTGCCGCCGCTTCCGTGCCATCCGGACCTGGCAGGACTTCTTCCGGTCCCTCGAGGTGGACTCTGTCTCTCTTTTCTCTTTTCTCTTTTTTTTTTTTCTCTCTCTCT